ATGAAAGAATATTGAGTTAGATGCTCCAATTGCTGCCGAGCTGCACCGTTATAACCAAACATGGAGCGTCTAGAAAACACACACACGCACACACACACACACACACACACACACACACACACACACACACACACACACACACACACACACACACACACACACACAGGAAGAGAGAAAGAGAGGGAAAAATGTTCTTTGATAATGATATTATAAACTTAATTCCACCCAGGCAAATTAAGTTCAATTGACTGGAGCATGGCAGGGCGGGAGGTCTTGTTTTACACTTTAGTTCACATTGGAAGTTAATCCACAACAAAATTGTGTAAAATATCAGTGAGCGAGTGAGAGAAAGATGAATAGATCAAAGAAGAAACAGAGAGGGAGAGAAGAGTTGACTCTCACAGGCAGCATTCCTCACTCATGACTGTATAAGGAGAAGGAATCAGACACCATAAGACCCCACTAACACACACACAGACACACACTCAACGCACGTGCACACACATCTCGCCCTCACTCTCTAGTATTTCTATACTGCTAGTTAAGTTCTTAGTGAGACAGCTCAATCAGGCTAAGTCATCTATTTTGGCTTCAGATGGATGTTTTCATGAGAAAGAGTGTGTGTGGATGTCATTAATGATGGCGCTGTTCTGTTCAAGTGTCCCAATAAGTCGTGACAGTGTGACAGTGAGCTGTGCATGTCCCTGCTTGGATGTCAAACTGTCCTCAGTGCAAGAGTGTATTGCGTGACAGGGTCGTGACTGACAGGAGGCGGAGCATAGCTATTAGTCATGATGTGAAAATCATCAGGACAGAGTGTACTTTACAAGCAGAAAGTATTCATTTATAGCCTGATCTTATAGTTTGGATGAAAAAGGCCATTGGACACTGATAGTGATAGATTATGTTTATTAGCTGATTTGAATTGAGTGGGAAGGCATGAGAGGTCTGGCCAAACGGATTCTGATGTGAGAAAGTTACATTAAATGCTTGGAAAACAAAACAAACATTTGATCAGTTTGGGAAGTATGCTTGTTTGCTCTCTTACTGAGTTAGATGAGAAGATTTGATACCACTCTCATATTGGTTCAATGAATATAAAGCTATAGCCTGCAGCCAGCTAACTTAGCTTAGCATAAAGACTGGAAACAGGGGGAAACTAGCCGGGCTCTGTCCGAAAGTAATAAAATGTGCCTATCAGTGCTGCTAAATCTCACTAAGTTTAGGTATGTATCCTGATTACCATGAACCAGGCCGCATGGCAGCGCCCCTGATTAATATGTGCTTCAGGCTAGGAGAGTGATTGCGTTGAGGTGGAAAAGTATGGATGGCCCTACACCTGCAGTGTGGTTATGGAAAATGGGTTCCTACCTTGCTTTGGAGAAATTTACCTATGTGGCCACAGGGGAAACAAACAGATTCAAGAAATATGGGACAATTCCAGGAATCTTTCCAATTCCTGGAAAGAAATGAGGCCAAAATGAATGAAATAGATGGATAGATTTTCTTCTCTTTCACTTCTTTTTTTCCTATTGGATGGTGAGAGTAGGAGGCGGTTGGGCTGTTTATAAATGTTATTGTATGTATCACTGTACAGTATGTTCTTTCAATGCCAAAAAACAATAAATATAGTGTAAACAAAATCTCGCTAATTAACAAATTATTTAAAATGTATTAAATCCGTTAAAAAAAAAAAACATGTAAACCTATCTCAGTTTTATGGGGGGTCATGTGCTGGACTTCTTGTTAGCTGGGAGCAGGGACTTCCTGAAATCTTTGATTGCCTGGCAACCTCAGGGTGACAACAAAACTTCAGGAAGTCCCTGCTCCCAGCCAACAAATAGTGCGGCACATAAGCCCCCATAAAACAACATTCGCCCTTGTGTGACCCTTGAACCTGATTCTCTTAATTTTCTTTTTGTTGGAACATGCGGCTAGATAAGTGATGAATAGGTTTCCTTATTATTTTAACTCTGTCTGCTGTTTATCTTAATGTACTTAATGCATTAATTTGACATAATGCTGGCTGGAAGAGTTCTATCTATAGCTATAGCTCCTCACAATGCAGATCTTTGTCTATAAATCTCAATCTCATTTATCTCCTCCGTGCTTTCAGTGCTTTGGAAGGATGCATTTTTCTGCCTAAAGATGTTCTCAAGATTTACAGTGAGACTGTCTCCCAGCTCTTGCCTTGAAAGGAATGCTATATGTTGTACATTCTGCACGCCTCCCACAGGGAATGGATGACTCTTTTAAAATAGCTGTTGTGAAAATTGCGCCCAAAGGTAGGCTACTGTAACATAAAGCTGTCCTTCACTACACTTAAAGGCATTAGTACATGAGAACGTATTTAATGGCTATGACATACATTATCTGTAGAGGTTTGGTAGATGGTCAGATTTGTAACCTGCTACTGAAATTTCACTTTCTGGCCTGCACTCTGGCCCCTCACAGTTTAAAGTGTGTACAGTTGAGGGCCTTTATTTTAAAAAACAGCTTCATTTTCAAATAAAGAAAACAAACAAAAAAAGCTGTGCGGTGTTAATCGAAAGTGTTTCCCATTGCAGCGCTGTTTTGAATCCTCGAGTTCGGCAATATGACTGTAGCCATCCTGTTTTTCTTGGAGTCAGAAGTGGATGAAATTTTGGATGAAAGCGTGTAGCTGGCCTGGTCACAAACCTTTTGTACTACATTTAAAGTACACTTTAGGCGAGAAATACGCAACGCAGTAAAATAATCTTGATGTATCTGATCAGCAGTGCCTAGTCTGACAGTTTGAGCTGAGTTTGGTTTGTTGAGCTAGACAGACTCACTGAGAATGACCTGTCAATCACAAGGTAGATAAATTGGACTGTAATTGACTAAACGAACATCATGCTGTATGGAGGAAGACATAAAAGTAGCGACTGAGACCATAAACTTATTAGGAAACTGTTTAATGAGCTAATAAATCGAGTGAGAAGCAGGGTCATTTTGCCATTACGTTGAATACAGTCAGACTTTTTTTGGAGACAGTAGAGTCGCCTCTTCCACATTGGATTCACTTTTCAGACCTGGACGCTCTGGCCACTATTATATACTGTCAATGGTTGGCATCAGGCCATTGTTGAGAAAAAAAGCTCAATCAATCAGTAAATGCAAACAAATCATTTGATTACTTTTACCTGTATTAGAATCACAGTTTGATAGTAGACATAGTTGGCAGTCACCCAACGTCCAGGATTACTGACGGAGTTATGTACCTCAGATTCATGTTCAGAAGAATGTGTTGCAGCCTTTAGTAGAGACTGAATATGATTATAGTCAGAAAACTATATTGTTTGATTATGTGTAGCAGGTTTCTAACCTGACTCAGAACAAGCCCCAATGTCAACTCAGCCGGCTGTTGATTTTGAACAAATCCTGCTGCATTCTTTAACATATATAATGAATGACTGCACTTAAATAGTTACATTCTAAATAATCCCTGCAGTCGAGTATAAAGAGGGTTTCACCCTGCTTATGTTATTTAGGAGTGATTGCACCCAACAGGAAACAGCTAGGTCAAACTTGTCCATCAACTTGGCTTTGTACCAGGACTTACTGAACACAAATGTACACAATAACTTATTGAAAGCAGATGCTGCTCCACTAGATTCTCTTTTCTAATGAATCTTGTTTTTATTCAGTTTTTTGGCTTCTTTAGAGAGTGGACAGTGAAAGAAAATAACAAAGCATCAACATTTTCCTCCTTCAAGTGACAGATTTTGTGGTTATGTTGACGGGCCAGCCAACTTGACATCATTTTGCATTATTCTCTGATCGCCTGATCTTTCCTTGTTGCTCTGCAGCCAGCCGCAGCAACAGCAGCTATGGCGCCTAAATTGTCCGACTGCCACAGGTTACATTACTACACCATGTTTTCACCTTATGGCCTCTCACAGTCTGCTAATGCAACACTTGCACCAGATCTGAATCAGTCACGACCCAGCTGGCTTTGTACGTGACAGCAGCCTGCCAGCGACAAATTAGGGGAAATGTAGTTTCAGCGATGCCGGAGCAATGTAATTTTTTTTTTAATGAGACAACAAAGCATAACCAAAACGTGGCTGAATCTGTACAATGAGCGAATTTAATAAACGAAACAACCTGGTGTGAGGATGTTTTTATTTACGATCCTCCACTCATAGAAGCCTTGAACTGAAATTGGACTTCAGATTACTCTGGTGACCAAAACAGATATACAGCTGTTTCATGCTGTCTGTCTGTGTGTGTGTGTGTGTGTGTGTGTGTGTGTGTGTGTGTGTGTGTGTGTGTGTGTGTGTGTGTACCGGATGAGAACACATCTTCAACCTGCCCAGTCAAATAAATTCTTGTGCGGTGACAAGCCCGCTATGCACAAAACATCTTCTCTGTCTTTCTCTCATACGTTCCTTATACTGTCTCCCTCTTTATCTCCATGTTTTCTGCCTCTCTTCCTTCCCTTTTTCTTACTTTCGCCTTCTCCTCTCTCGTCTCCCTCTCTCTTTGATTCAGTGTCCTCATTTCAAGCCGTCTTCCGTTCGTTCAACATGTGGTTCGAGTTTTTCTCCTGTTTGTTTTGCCAGCACAATAAAGGCCGTTTACTACAAAGAAAACAAAAGAAAGGAATCCCAATAAAGTTTATTGCACTTTGAGTCAGGTCCCAAGCTGAGTGGAGGAATAGTGTGTTTTAATGAGGCTAGGTCTCAGCCAGGTCAACATAAATCAGCTTGGGTCCAAGGATGGATGAATGAACAATAGCGGAGGAGGAAGGTTTGTCTGAGACGGATTCTCAGACTCTTCGCTGAATCTCCCAGCAATCACAGTCAAACAGAGTGGGAGGGGCCTTCCTTGGATTATTGATTGATTGAGTTTTGTTTCTATAGGTGGTCCTCTCGTTACTGCTCGTGCTCAACTACCCTTTGATTTTAACCAACCACATTTGAAATTTGACTTCCATTTTTAGCAACCACGCTGGATTCATGTGTGCTTTGTTCTAGGTATAAGGACTACAGGGAACCCCCGTGGTCTCCGGATGCGTACATGTTCTCCAAACAGTACTGGTGTGTCCTGGCTGCAAGACTGGCTTTCGTCATAGTGTTCCAGGTATGAGCTCATTGTGTTTGCTTTACAAGCTAATTTCAATCAGCTCATGTTTCTGAGGTCCAGACAGTTAAAAGACCATTTAAAAACAAAACCACAGACAGAGAGAGAGAGAGACGCAACATTTTGGAATTAGTCGAATTAGACGTCTCCAACGGTTGCAAACACATTTTTTCCACATACATAAGTTACTCTGCAGAACAGTTAAGAGCACACACGCTGCTTCGCATTGATAGGTTTCTCATGTGATCATTTTTTAGGTGTTCTTCAGTTGACTTTAATGGATTACTACAATAAAAAGACGGATAAAGTAAATGTTTGTGCATATGTGTGGTCCAGTCTGTACTAATTTGGTGGATCACGCTGTACACTCATCATGATCAGGAATTTTACCAGATGCCTCAGTCAGTTAGCGACCAGCTCATTTGATAAACAGCTCTTTCCGTCTCTCCGCCTGCACGCCTCACTAACATATGTCTACCAAATGTCCTTCAGAATTCAGGACATTCCTTAACAATGTCTCTCAAGTTTTTAGATTGGGAGTTTTCAAACTGTGATGCGTGTCTCCCCGGGGGGAGCACAGGAGGGTTGTGGGGAGGGCGTGTTGGGAGAGATGATGAGGTGAAAGGGACAGGTGTATGCCGGTGTTCTAAACACAATGGGAAGTTTGTTGTTGTAGTTCATTTCCCTCTCTCCTCTTCTTTCCCGCCTCCAGAATCTGGTGATGTTCCTGAGCCTCGTGGTCGCCTGGGTGATCCCCGACACTCCCAAAACCATCATGGAGCAGCTCAAACGGGAGAAGAAGCTCCTGGTGGATGTCTTCTTACGGGAAGAGAAGGAAAAATTCCAGCTCATCCAGAGCCTCTTCTCCAAGGACACCACCCTCCAACCGGGCGGCCACGTGCTCCACCCGGGTCAGGGCCTCCCCATCCCGGGCCGCTACAGTACTCTACCCTCAGGACCAAAGCAGGGCTTGGCCGGAGACAGGGGAGGAGAAGGGCCCAGGGCGAGGTGTAGGGCGGCCAGCTTCAGCCAATTCACCAGAAACATTCCCTCGTCGCCCAGAAATGAAAACGAGAATTCCAGACACACGGCGGTGTGACATGTAACACACACATCTGTAGGGGTGCTTCAGCTGGGCCTCAGGACTGGAGAACATGTTGCTCGGGTGATTCAGTCTGTGAATGTCTCTCACTGTGTCTTTAGTGTCCTGGCGTGTGTGACACAGTAGTGCTGTAATTTAAAAAAAAAAACGCAGCACATGTTTGAAGAAATTTGAGTTCATTGGTCTCAGTGTGGAATGTCCACACTGGCTGAATGGGTGTCTGTGTGTTGTTCCTCCTTGCACCGACTGTTCACCTGATAAAGTAATATAATTTTTACTTTTTGGTAAAAATACATTATTTAGCGAGGCACACTTGCTTCATAGCGTAGACAAGCAATAATTACTGTATTAGGCTGAACAAATGAATATTACAAGAACCCAGAAAAGACTGAAGATAATGAAAAGACTATTAAGAAATGGACAGATTCAACACAGATGGATTAATGGACACTGGCTCATTAGTAGGGCTGGGGACTATCAGACTTTTCCTGCTTTATGTGCTTATGCTCTTTATGTATTTTTGTTTTTAACAGAATTTGTAGCAGCTCCAACATTCCACATTTTCTGTATTTTTCAATACATGGTACTGAAAGCACACGCGAGCCTCCAAGAAGAGCAAATCATTTTCTTTTACACCATTTACTGTTTCAGCTCTGTAGAATTCAGGAATCACTTTGAATCATTTTCATACGTCAGCCCCCGCGTATTCGGATTAGGGATGCTCATGCCAATGTGGCACACTGTTGTATGGCACTCATAGATTCCAGTCCAGTGTATACTTTTAGAAATAGGTGATCTGTGAAGCTAATTTTTTTCCTGTTAGCCATAGGGACTTTTACAGCTTTTACATAACCTCTAAATGCTAAGAGGAAGCCAACTCTTTAGCAAACTGTGAATGGGAGTGAGCTAGAAATGATCTCAGTTTTTTATTGTCTAGGGAACAAATACTTCATCAGCATTCCTTCATTATGAAATACCACACTGTAATCTCTGACATACTTGGAGGTAAGTAATAAACTTAAGTAATGAACTTACTGGTGTCACGCAACCATTGGCAGCCATGTTGGAAATCTTCAGGAACACAGGCTGTGAAGAGATTTTATTTTGTACAACTGGGCCATCTGTTTGTGACTGATACATCTGATTGATTTTAGGTTTAGATAATTTCAGCTTGTTAGCTAGCTAACATACTATCCGGTCTAACTATCACTGTATAGTTGTTAACAACTTATTATCATACTGATTGAATTAGCTTTTGTATGTTACAGTCAAACTGAAGATTGAATTCTCCATTTTTTGTGTAAGGAAACATAAGCTATAATGACACTGCATTTCCATTTTTCAAGAAACGGATAAATGTTAGTGGGAACGGTTCTGGGCAGGCGGTTCTTTTGGCAACGTTTAACAGACATTCGGGGCTAGGAAACATGTCGCCTACAAACATTGATGCAAAACATTTTTACCTGCTTTCTCACCATGTTGATGAACTAGTTACTGAAAAATCTGTCCCTGTTCAGTTGAAATTGAATTTCATTCAGCACTGGAAACCAGCAAGCTAAGCTGACTAGCTTCTTACCTGGGAAATGGAAGCTAATTAGCCTAGCTTATTAAAAGAAAGAAGGGGGTCCAGCTAGCTGTCAGTTATGGTAAATGACCAACTTGTCAAATCTCACAGCAAGTAATATACGGAATCTCGGAATAACGTATGGAATGCTAAAATAACAACATCAGCTCACCACCTGTTGGAATTGAAATCATATTACGAAAACAATTTTTACACCAGATATTGGGCCGCTCACGTTACCAGTAATGACATTGTTAGTCAGAACCAAATAGCCATGCCCCCACTACACAAATGTAACTAAAGCTAAAATTAATAAAACTTAAATTTCTTAAAAAGTCTAAGCAAACACAAAGGATATAATTGTTTATGCTTATTTCTTAGCCTAAATTAATTTTAATTTCAGTTTAAACTTAAGCATGGAGGGGTCAAGACACCTGATTATGGTGCGGAAGTGTCAGTCCTGCTGCCAATGTGTCCTGCAGACACTGGGTGAGCAACTTCGATTGGAATGTATGGGTACCATCTTGAAACACCGTATCAAGATCTTGTTATGGTGTTAACATGCCGACATGCCGTAAACCTTCAGTAGCCTACTGTTTCAGAGGCCTTATAACTGCTCTTATATTTTCAATACAATCAGATCTGTCTGGTAGGTTAGGACTCAGTGACAGATTGTCAACTTTAAATGTATTCACATGGACTTCAGGAGATGGAAATTGTGATAGTGGTGTCATACTAGTTTTTGTCATTCAAGAAGAGAAATGTCCATCCTTACCTTATGTAAGCTGGTGTAGAAGTTCTTAAATACATGATTGTTGGATGGATTATGAAATTATTTTACATGTTGTGTGATATCTTTGCTTTTATCTCATTGGTCTGTTTTTTTGTTTTTGAATTTTTTTGGCCTTTTTTGACCAGGTAGTGGGATTACCTGGACAAAAGAAAAGTCTTTAGAAAACAATAAACATACAAGCCTGAAGCAGATTCCTGCGCTTACCAGATTGTGGCATTTCAACCATTTTGACAGCAATATATTCAGATAATCCTTCATGTACAGACATTGAAATGCTTTTGTTAATTACCATCATATTTGTCATGATCTCTGGTGCCTGTTTCTTCTTGTAGGCTACTTTGGCTGTAGATGGGTTGAGGGTAGATGAAATTTGTGTCTGAGCTTGTCTTGCCTGGAATTTCCTTGGCAACCAGTAGATCAGGTGCATAAAAATGCCAGTTGGTTGAAGGGTGAATCCTGCCAAAATCTTCTGTTGCTGACCCTGCGTTTTCCCATCTCAGCTTTCCTACCGGTTGTAATGGTTAAGAAGAAAAACAAAAGCAGGTTTTTGTAAAAATATACTTTAAGCTGGGAAACACTATAATCACATTTAAAGTCCCTTTATAAACCATGAAAACTCGTATATTTTTCTCACGAGTTGGGGGAGACCAGAAAAGTAATAAAAGAGTGAATATCGAACTGTATTTTTCAAGTGTGCAGTAACACAACTCCATTTGGATGCTCTTGATGCATTGTGCCTGCCAAATGTTTAAGTAGGAAACTCCTTCCGAAAACAAGAGAGAGTTTGAGAGTATTTCTGCCACCTAGTGGTCACAAACTGCTCAGGGCAGCTTTAAATGCCTCATCTTATGATTGAGCCTTTGACCACTACATCACTCAAAGAGTTTTCAACCAGTTGGTGACTAGTTTATGATGATACTCTGCAAAAGTCATTCCTACATGTGTGATATTGTGATATACCAAGTCTTTTCAAATCTGGTTAGGATTAGGCTTCAAGTGGGTTACGGTACCCTTTTTCCCATGAAGTTATGAATCAAGACATAATGAGCAATCTCACAGCTGTAAGCAAAGTTAATTCATACGGTTTTTAAACATCTACCTCTCACTGACATTTGCAGCTTAGATTAGGTTGTGAAGTAATTCTTTTTTTATGTTTGTGGAATTGCATTTTCCCCTCCTTGTACACTGATGATATCACAATTGAAGGTTGTCATTTTTATGCACCGTGATCACTGAACAGCTACGCAATGATACACAATGCAGTCATTGAAGACAGCTGGGAACTGGGAGTTATAGCCTGATGGATTTATATTCATTGTGCTGGACAAAATCCCTTCAGGTGTCTCCCAGATGTGTTCATAGTTTTAGGGCAACTGATAAGATAGCAGTGGTTTAGAGTAGGTAGAAGCTATAGAAAAAGCAATATGTAACACATTGGACATGCTTTTTTTGTAATATGATGTACTGTAAAAATCCCATATCTCTTAAAGTAAATGAGTGTATGTCACATTGTATACCATGGAGGTGTGTGTTTTTTCCTTTTTTTTAAAGTTATTTTTTTGGCCTTTTATTGCCTTTATTGATAGTGACAGCTGAGGATGGGTGGGGGCACGCAGCAAGGGGCTGCAGGTCAGATTCGAACCCGGCCACTGTAGCAACTCCCTACATGGGTCGCCAGCTCTACTGACTGAGCTAACCGGGCACCGTGTGTGTTTTCCTTTTAACGTACCAGAAGAGTTTCAATTATCTCAACAATGCATGCACTAACAAGGTCTTGGAAGTTTCCTATTTTCCATGAATGCAACACTGACATAATTTCCTGTCTGTAGAGTTAAACTTTGCAGCTGTCACTTGTTTGTTGTGGGACTAGAAATGTTTGTAGAACAATGGAAATGAAATTATGATATGAGTTGTGCAACGGTGGAGTCTTTAAGTCAACACATCATTTTGAACAGGTATGTAAACATTTGCCTTTATGCAACTGATTCATTAATGAATTTTGAATCTTTGTTTTAACAGGAAGTGTTTGTATGACTTTCAGTACAGATAATGCCCAACAAATGATATATTATGCACAGATCCATGTTTTCACATTTTATACTAAGAAAAAAGAGCAAGAAAGGAACCATACATCAGTTTTTACGCAAAAAAACAGCAGATAGGAAAGGAAAGAGGGTCTGTGACCTGGGTAACTGGCATCTAATGCTAAAGCGGCTTTTATGGTGTCATCCACATCAGTGGTTTTCAAAATTGTTTATCAGATGCACCCGCGCGCAGCCCTGATCAACTAAAGTAGCCCTTCATCAAAGCCACCTATCATATTCCAAATTTGCTCATTTGAATTAATTTTAACATGAATGTTAATTTAATACTAATTATATAAAACTGTATAGCCTAATTGTTAACAGTATTGTTTTATACAATGGAACTGTCAATGGTTAGGTTGTTAACATCACTTTTAAAAAATCTGTTTCAACTTTTTATCCGTAACTTTTAACTATGACATCCATTTATCCATCACTTCTAGCTAACTGAACTTCTCTCTCTTGCTAACTAAATTTCACACAATTGCAATTGTCTCCTACTTCTAATGTGCACTAGTGTTTGTGGCTCTCTGCTTTGATGTGTGTGTGTGTGTCTGTAATGGAACATCAGTTAGTTTTCCTTTTTGTAGTGTGAGGCCAAATTGGCATGCAACCAAAACATAAGGGAGCAAAACCTCATCGTAGAAAAATTAGCTGCAATTAGCACGCACACACACACACACACACACACACACACACACGCACACACACACACACACACAAACACACACACACGTACTGCTTATGAATAGCAACCTCTTGCAACTTTAAACTTGTCCCTTTTGTATCTCCTGTCTTCTGGTATGTGCACTAGATAATCTAGCTGAATTTTAAAGTCTGAAATCCAGAATGTTGTTAGAATCCATTATAAGCCATCCACATCCTTTGTCACCCTTTACACTCTATTAGCAAGTTGAACTGGCAGCAGTTCTGGTATGTCTTTAGGTTAGGTAGACTGTTTCATTTAATAAAACACTGCAAGAATACAACATATGGAATCTGCAATAACTGTGTCCAATCACCAGCTGCTTACATGATGGTAGCATTAAGATCATGATCAACACGAGCTGTTCCGCTGTGTGTGGCAGTGGATACATTCCTGCCAATCAGCATCCTGAATGTAACATTATGGGGTCCACATTCCTGACATTTAACTGGGATTGAGCTAACGGCTCCGTCCATCTCACTAGTCCTACAACAGCTTTTGTTGAAATGTGTTAGGCTCAAATTGGAACCACAAAGCCGCCTTTGGCTGGACCTTTTGAGCTGAATGCAGATTGAGAACAGCCCTCAGTTCAGTTAACTGCTCTCCAAGAAAAAGCTGCCGTGCTCTGATGATGATGTAATATCCCACAACTTAGTCCACAACTTTAATATTCTATATTCATCAGTCTGATCTGAGCGTGTGTGTATAACTGCATTTCCCAAGAGGGTTATGGAAGTTGAAGGCTTGACTATAGTCTATAGTCTGTTAATTTGACAAACCCTGCTCTCAGGGACCGGAGGACATAAACATTTGGCTTCTCACAGTCAGAACATACGCTGATGGTGGGTCACACTGCAGCATGTTGGTAATCACACAAACCTGCTTTTTATATGAAGGTAAAAAAAAGCTACAAGTAGGAACAGATGGTAGAATAGTCAGAGTAGAGACACAGAGGTGAATGGATATTTTAAGCATGGGAAGACAGGGGAGGGTGAGGTGAAGCCTGTTTTGAGGAGTCCCACTGGTTCTCCCCTAACTAGGATAGAACTGGACAAGAGCTGGGAAAAGGGAAAGAAAGGTTGGAGAGAGAGGGAACAGAAAAAGTACAGTATTAAATGTATTTATAGAGAGAGAGGAGGACCAGAGGGGGGCGAGAATAGCACCAAAATGTCCTTGCATGCTTTTTTGTTTCACATTTTCCAATCATTATGCAAGCTCTGAACTGTTTCAGGAAGAGACCCGTTGAATTGTGAACATTTAGAAATAATAGTTTAGGATGTTTTGTTTTTCACAAGACAAAGTCACCTTGGCCTAATATAAAGGCATAAGTATAAGTATTATTCCAGCTCTGTGGGAAGACACATGCAGGTTTTTATTTATTCCAGAAATGTGGAAAGGAAACGTAAGATTAGTGCAGACATTTAGATTTTTACAAAACAGGAAAAGCACCGTTGTAAATAATAATTTTAACAATGGCTCCATTCCATTAATTGTCCCAGTAAGCTGTGTCAGTGCGTGAGCATGCTCAGTGATCCAGATCCAGCCCTGGAACTGGATCACCTAAGTGGACTGGAGCCATTAGTAATGGTATTAATTCCACCCGGGCTTTTCGTGCTTTGGCAAGTCAAAGTGTTTGCTGTGAAAAGGGTCTGTATTAGGGATCTGTATCTAGCTGCTAAATTATCTGTATCAATACTCGGAACGGGCGGCGTTTAGACCAGATGTGGGCCGGACTAGCCAGAAGTTGTTCATTTAATCCTGAAATTGATACAGGAGTTGTTATATTTATTAGAAAACTATTTACAGAACAGCTTCAGAACAATGTTTTTAAGCACAAAGATAAGAGAACTACTTACAGAACAAAAAGGAAACAGAAATTGAGATTTTACTCAAATTATACTTTTTTTTTTAAATATTGAGTATGTACTGGTTGACAAGCAGTACATATTTTGGCTGAGACTGAACAAAATACCTCCTTAAACTTAACTGCAACATGCAGTGGTTAGTGGTTGAGTGCCTGTGGAAGAGTCTTACAGCTGAATCATCTGACAGTAGAGTCACATTACATCACAGATGATGATGACAGACTCATGTCAGTCGATGGATGTTTAATTTATGCACCAGAGCTGAGATCATTGCTGACTACTGTATGTTAATGCACGCACTCGAGGAGCTGACTCATATTTCCTCCCAACATCTGACTGTTAGTTGCGGTACCTCAAAAAAATGAATGAATCAATAACAACTGTGTTAGCTGTGTGCTACTGTCACACACAATCACTGACAGTTCCCTTGTTATTCTGCAAACAGCATGAATTGAACATATATATTTTTATTTTTTAATATTAGATTTTTTAATATTAATTTTTATCCTGATTTATAAAACCCCATTAGCAGCATGACCTGGTGTCCTTCCTTCGCTTTTCTTTCAGCACACACATAGTATTCATATACATTCATTTCCCTCATGTAATGAAATATAATCCATCAGGCACTTCTGAATTATTAAATAGCTATATGCCATACATGATGTGGGCTATATTATTATGAATGAAGTTGGCTGCAGTATGACATAGACTGAATGCAGTATCAGAACTGTGCAAAACAGTATGTACCAGTTTGCTTCAAAATAAAACACATTAAAAAAACCATAGACAGCAAAGAATTGATGGGTAATGTTATGGGTAACACTCCTATGGTGTGTGTGTTAAATTCAAATCAAAGTTACTCAAAGATATACTTGTTATTTCCATTTTCTCCTACATAGGATTTGGATCACAGAGAACTCTTTTAAACTTTTTATCCACTTAACTGTTTTTTTTTTTTGTCATTCATGGTTTTCCAGGTGACCTTGCGTGCAGCTAAACTCTTTCTAGAGGTGTTCCACATGACGTTATGTGGTGCATTTCTATCCTTTACATATCTTTGTGTGTGTTTACTGCCTCTGGCTAATTCCTAGCCTGCCCTGATTTGTCTCAGTTCTTCATTTACAAACCTGCTTCTATCTATTCTACTCTTTCAGGAAGGTGCTCAGACAATTTGAGATGTGAAAGTTTGAGTACCTCACCTTTAATGTTATCTAAGTAGCCTAAATGTTATGAAATCAGAATACTTTTCCATGCAATATTATGCTCTTGTATAATATTAGCACTACAGGGACTAACACCTACACCATGCTGACTGATCAAAGAATAATAGAGCCTCCACACAGTGGGCCTTTCTTTTTCTCAGTTTGTATATGCTTGATTCCTTCCCTCGCAGAGGCAGAAGAGACGAGGCAACAGGCATTTATTAAAAAGAGATGTCCTCATGTTCCTTTTAGAGTCATCAGAAACAGCACAGCTGCATCATCTGTTTTCTTATTTTCTTATTTTAAGTATTTTTTGGGTCTTTTATCTATCCTTTAATCAACAGTGACAGCTGAGGATAGACAGGAAAGGGAGAGAGGGGATGACACGCAATAAAAAGGGCCAGGGGTTGGAGTCGAACCCTGGGCCGCTGCAGCAAGGACAGGTTTGACAGCAAACTCCCTGTTTTCCTTATTTTCTGTGTGATTTTAATATTTAACTCCAGATTGTAGCTGTTTCATGCTGTGCAATGAAGGTTTAATCTGTCAACAAACATCTTGTGTGGTTGGTAATAATGACAAAGTTTGTTCATATGGATTAGGGTTATTTATACATCCAAACTATTACAGGTCGCCTTAAGATGATCTGGATGTAGC